TGAACAGATTCTCTTTATTCTGGCTATAATTATTTACATGCCATGCTATCAACAATTAATAAAAATTTATTTACTGAAAAGAGCAAAGTTACAACATATGGCTATTAGAAAAATAATTACAGCCTCTAAGTACAATATCTACACTTGAATTAAAAACTTTGTATGTATGTACATCAGTAGACAGTTCCTTTCTACCATGAAGGAGTCACATTACCCAATATGTGAACAACAGTCAATTTTATATGCTAGGTTAGGTAGTCAATACAGTGCTGTTATATCATAAAGTTCCTAATGGAACACAGATATTAAAGCAATAAATAAAATTACAAAAGATGTTATAAAATGAGTATTCTTGAAAAAGATATACATTTCTCTTTGCTAAAACATATAAGCACACAGTTTCAAAATATAATAACTGAAGTCATTTTTTTTTAAATGCCAGATTCATAATACAGGATTTAGACCTGAATCATTTACTTTTCCTGTGCAGATAGAATACAAGTAAAAGTCATAAAAAATATCAAAACAAAAAAATAAAATAGATAATCATTATGGGTCCAAGGACAAAATTCCTGTGTGGTGAGAATACTCTTTCCAGATCTTTCATAATCGTTAAAACAAGAAATGTGACTGAGATTTCTTTTCTTTTACAACACTTAGTTTACAAAGTGATGGGAATGATTTGGAGCTTGCCTTTTTTTTTAAGCTAAAACTGCAAAATGTAAAACTGAAATTCTACACAGCAAAAATGTACATGTGCATTTCTAATATGTATAACTGTTAAAGTATGAAATTTTTCATGACATTCCATCTTTGTTGGTTGTATCCATGTGAAGAAATGATAAACAGTTTGAACTTACATACATAACAGGCTTAGTTTACAACATATTTAGTTCTTTACGTACTTTAAAATTCTTCAATATGCATTTTATACATGTAATCTTGTCGGTGATTGTTCAATATACATTTAATGTACATAATACATAACTTGAAGCTTACAACTAAGATCTTGAGTTTTTTTCTCATATATTATAAACACTAATTGTCTTACTTCTCTAACAGACCAAATTTGTTTTCATTTCCTGCAAATACAAGATGTCTGCTAAGTTACATCAAATATTTGCAAATGTGAAAGAATATTTTCTATACATGTTTGTGCTTTTCAAATCACTCAGAATGAGCTGCATTTTTGAGCAATACTAGTGGCAACTTACTTTTGAGAAGTAGAGTTTGGCAGAAATTAAAGTCATGGTTTTAATTTGGAAAATCTTGGACTTCTCAGTCATGAATGTTTTATGCAGCCTATGAAAATGGCAGCATCTTCTAACATGGTACCACATTACATGATTCACCAATAAAGATTGCAAGGGGACAGTATACCAGTAACTGTTAAAAGAAAATGTAACAATAACTCTTTTCTGTATCAGTATACCCATCTTCCTTAACTCTGCTCTCCCTAACTCATTTTATGCACTATTCTTAAAATCCACCTCATACCTTAATTTTGAAAGATATATCTAAAAAATTCTCTGCCCAGCACCACATATTTTTTCACTTCTGCAAACATCTGATTGAACTTTTTTTAACACCATATATGATATTTCTTGATCCAATTTAAGTTTTGAGATGATTCTTGTCCTAATGTGGCTTTGGCACGTGTCCATCCACATAGAAATTTCTAGTTGCTTGAGGTAGAGTCAGTGTCATTCCATCTAATTCTTTTGTGAGTATAATCTGGCAACCTGAAAAAAGTTTTAATCAATAAAAAGGAAAGATAAGATTTTCTGTCATGAAATCTATTCAGGATATAATATGGAAACATTTCCATGATCATCCTAACTTCAAACAGTAACGTTTCTATGGAAGAAATCTTTTAACAAACAATTTTTTGATAAGTTAAAAAGTAATAATAATAAATAAATAAAAATAAACAGCATATAGCACTACTTAGGTCCATCATACTTGAGTAAAGTACCTAATCTCAGTGATACTACATTAACAGCAATTCTACTATGGCAGTACATACAAATATTATTGATTTAAGCAAACAGATACACGACTGTGGCTACAGTTAAGTAAAATTAATTCTCAATATTTCTAGCTGCTATTTTCACATTAACCAATACTAATTGTCTACTTCATAAAACATACATTCCAAAAGAATATTAAAACTTTCAAAAGACTGAATCACAAAAATGAATTTTCATTATTGGATAAAAATCTTATATAATGTCTTAAGCACATAGAAAGATCAGTAATACTAACACAGAAGAAAACTTACCGAGTCTGGAATTATCTCTTAGAAATACTGCTAAATCTAACATGTCATCTTCTTCTTCAACGGGATCTGGTAACAGATCTGTGTAATTGTCATCTACGTAAACATGACAGGTACTGCATGCTAATGATGCTTCACATGCACCTATAGACAAAGAGAATGAAAGAAAAACTTATTAGTGTAATTACTTATCAATGTCAATGGTGAAGACAACCCCTTCACTTTTCAATTCACCACATTAATATAGTATAACAGTATCTAAAATCTATATCAATTATTGGGAACATTTATTAATTATTAAGGAATGTAATTAACTTGATATTCAGAATTTTAAACACTATGCACGTCCAAAATGTTTAACAAATCAACTTTAACTTCCACAGATACATCACATAATACAACAAGGGAGTTGTTTTAAAATGTAGTCTCATTATGATTTAAGATGATTCAGCTATATGGTATGTATCCAATTACCTGTCCTCACTCATCTTTTCCAGTTACACTCCTAAACTAACGAAAGTAGATGGCTCCATGCACTTCTTTTGAATACAATAACTATCATGATGTATGTAAGTCTTGCTAAGCAGACACAAAACAGTTTCATGATCAATGTTTCATATTACATTGTACCATTTACTCTTCTCTTTAATAATCTTATTTCACAAAGTCTAAATTATACAGACTGCTCTATACTGTCAATGTTTTGCAGAATCACTACTGCTATATACTTAAAGTAATGCTGTTATTTGTCAATCAACTGCCATCGGCTTACATTAGTACAATAACTATGGCACAACTAAGTAATATGTAGTCTACAAAAATATTTTAGGATGAGTATCTGAATAGACACAATGAACAATATACAAAAAATGTCCACTCTTATAGACTAGGATTTCCAACAGATGTCCCAAAATATTTGCAAACTTTTTAATGATTTTGTTTGCCAATAACCACATTCTCATAAGGACCTACAAATGAAAAAGTGCTATGAATATACAATATATATAAATATTTTAAATACACAACAGAGCTTAGACCATTACCTTCCAGTTCAATGCCATATCTGTGAGCAAGGTAAAGGATGTTGTCTCCGATTTTTCCTCTCACGGGGACCTTATTTCCGCTACGGTCAATGAAAGTCACATTAACCCTGAAAAGAGATTATATAGTCTATATACATATACATAGTTATATGGTTCAGAAACTACAATAGACAAAAAAGTTGAATGCATGATGTAATTGTAAATTACAATAGAATTGACAATATTTTGTTGCTTGTTAAGTATAAGCACTAATGCTTATACTTAATGTAACATATAATAAACCCCTACTAGTAACAATGCCTGATTACTTTCTTCTTTAGAACAGCTGAACAGCACTTTTCTCTTTTGACTTTAAAACACAAATTTCATTTCTTTTTTCTTCACTGGTGAATGATCAATACTACTTACACTTCTTCCTCAGATTTTGGATCTTGATATTCATAGCTGCCATGGTGAGAGACTGTTGACAGAGATATGCTTTAGTTAATTATTCTAATGGTAATTCAGATACACATATATATACATATTATATATATATATATATATATATATATATATATATTATAGTATAGAGAGAGAGAGAGAGAGAGAGAGAGAGAGAGAGAGAGAGAGAGAGAGAGAGAGAGAGAGAGAGAGAGAGAGAGAGAGAGAGAGAGAGAGAGAGAGAAGAGAGAGAGAGAGAGAGAGAGAGAGAGAGAGAGAGAGAGAGAGAGAGAGAGGAGATGAGAGAGAGAGAGAGAGAGAGAGAGAGAGAGAGAGAGAGAGAGAGAGAGAGAGAGAGAGATTCTAAAGGTAATTCAGATTACATATATATATACATATATATATATATATATATATATATATATATATATATATAATATATATAATATATATAATATAGAGAGAGAGAGAGAGAGAGAGAGAGAGAGAGAGAGAGAGAGAGAGAGAGAGAGAGAGAGAGAGAGAGAGAGAGAGAGAGAGAGAGAGAGAGAGAGAGAGAGAGAGAGAGAGAGAGAGAGAGAGAAAGAGAGAGAAAGAAAGAGAGAGAGAGAGAGAGAGAGAGAGAGAGAGAGAGAGAGAGAGAGAGAGAGAGAGAGAGAGAGAGAGAGAGAGAGAGAGAGAGAGAGAGAGAGAGAGAGAGAGATATGAGAGTGAGAGAGGGAAGAAGTGAAAGAGGGAGGAAGGGAGGAAGGGAGGGGGAGTGAGTGAGCGATATTCAGAATACCTTGTATGACCAATCAAATATGATAGTGGTGTCAATGGATTATTACTCTCAATAAAGAAATATAAAGAAATTATGCCATGGAATAGCCATCTCCAATGCCCACAATCTTGGCCCCAGTAGCAGGGGAGGGCATGGATGGTACCCAGGAAATTGTAGGTAAAATATAAATAAAATCCAGAGAATTGGTTAATAAATAGTCAAATGCAGGGGGTTGTATTCGTTGCAGTCCCCTTTGGGGGGCTACTGCCCCCAACCCCTGCTATGTATGACAAAGAATTCACCATGACAGACTCAGCATCAGGTGCTCCCACACATTGGTTGTACACTCTATCCTGCCATGAATATGAGGAGGATTTTTTTCTTCCAGAGCAAGGGTAAAGGAACCATTGCTCCCACATGGGAGGGTTGCAGGAGGCACTGGCCCCTGCATTGGATATTATTATTATAGTGACATAATCCCTGTATATCATTC